CAGGTGTGCTAGCAGAGGTCATTATTCCCTTCCTAAGCCCTCCCCTATCCCTGGAGTTAGCAGGTATACACCAATCTGACCAATATGTCTTTATCAACCTGGCTAACACACTTTGCCCCACCCTGAGACTTCCACCCACCCAGCTTACAAGTCTATCCAACCTGTTTCCAGTGGTTTTTTTCCATACGAACAGCCTGTCTTGGCTCAAGCTGCCAACTTCCCTAAAACCTTTCAATCAACTGGCATCTAGCTTCTGCATACAGCGTACTTCTTGCTAAGTAGCCCCAAGCCTGGCACAAGTAGCAGGCATCAGCAGGCATCTGCAGATTGCTTTGTAGCTCATGCTTGGTGGCCCCAGGCAGGCCACAAGTGGCAGCTGACCTTGGCCTGCATCTCCCCGGAAGCCCCAATGCCAGCACACCTGGTAGACGGCTTCAGACCATGCCAAAGCATCACCCACCACCTCCATGAGTGACACACTCAGAGGTGGACTTAGCAGGTACCTGAGCCCCTCTTTTTTTTTTTTTAAAGTATATTTTATTGATTTTTTTACAGAGAGGAAGGGAGAGGGCTAGAGAGTTAGAAACATCGATGAGAGAGAAACATCGATCAGCTGCCTCCTGCACACGCCCTATTGGAGATGTGCCCGCAACCAAGGTACATGTCCTTGACTGGAATCGAACCTGGGACCCTTCAGTCCACAGGCCAACACTCTATCCACTGAGCCAAACTGGTCAGGGCTACCTGAGTCCCTCTTAAGGGAGTTATGCTTCTTGGGGTCAGCAAATGCTTCATGGTGGTCATAGCCAGTCCTTGCAGCCAATCAGCCTGGATAAATTCCTCCCATTGAGGTGCCAAAAGCAATCAAGGCTTGACTACAATAAGAGGAGGGTGCACACAGCCCACATGGGGGCATACTTTGAGCACCCAACTTGGGTAACTGGGAAGGCTGTGCCACTGGGCCCTACAGGAAACCTACTATATAAGGCGATTCTACCAAGTCTGGGACATATAGCAGCTCTATCTAATACATAGGACCAAACACAGGGAGGCAGATAAAATAAGAAGATAAAGAAACATATCTCAAATGAAAGAACAGAACAAAACTCCAGAAAAAGAATTAAACAAAAAAGGAGGCAAGTAATCTATTAGATGCAGAGTTTAAACTGTTGGTTAAAAGGATGCATAATGAATTTAGGGGAAGAATAGAGGACCTGAGTGAGAACTTCGACAAAGATAGGAAACACAAAGATGAATCAGTCCAAAGTAAAGAATACATTAACTGAAATGAAGAATACATTACAGGGAATCAATAGTAGAGTAGATGAAGGAGAGGGTCAAAAAAGTGGTTTGGAAGATAAGGAAGCAAAAGACATCCAATCAGGAAAAAAAAAAGGAAAAGAATTTTAAGAAATGAGGATAGTGTAATAAGCCTCTGGGACAACTTCAAGTGAACCAACATTCCCATCATGGGAGTGCCAGAGGAGAAGAGAGAAAGTAAGAAATTGAAAACCTGTGTGAAAAAATATAATGATGGAAAATTTCCCTAACTTGGTGAAAGAGACAAACATACAAGTCCAGTTAGTGCAGAGAGTCCCAAACAAGATGAACCCAAAGAGATCCACACCAAGGCACATCATAACTAAAATACCAAAGGTTAGCCTTAGCCTCAGTTGATTGGAGCCACATATATGAGGCAACTGACAGCTGTTTCTCTCATATCTTTTTTTTTCTCTCTCTCTCCCCCTTTCTCTTTCTCTCTCCCTTACTCTCTCTCTAAAAACCAGTGGAAACATATCCTCAGGTGAGAATTAAAAATAAAAAAGCCAAGGTAAAAGACAAAAAGAGAATCTTAAAAGTAGCAAGAGAAAAGCAGTTACTTACAAGGGAGCTCCCATAAGACTATCGGCTAATTTTTCAACAGAATCTTTGCAGGCCAGCAAGACTATCACTTATAACTAAAGAACAGATAAAGAATTTCACAGACCCAAAACAAAAACAAAAACAAAAGCCAAAGGAATGTATCACCTCCAAACCATATTACAACAAATGTTGAAGGAGAAGGAGAAGGAGAAGGAGAAGGAGAAGGAGAAGGAGAAGAAGAAGAAGAAGAAGAAGAAGAAGAAGAAGAAGAAGAAGAAGAAGAAGAATTATTTAAAAATATGAATAATAAAATGGCAATAAATACACATCTATCAACAATTATTTTAAAGGCAAATGGATTAAATGCTTCAGTCAAAGACATACAGTGGCTGACTAATAACAAAACAAGACTCTTACATAAGCTGTATACAAAAAACTCACTTCAGCACAGACTGAAAGTTAAGGGGTGGAAAAGGATTTTTCAAGAAAATGGAAATGAACCAAAAAAAAGCTGCATTAGCAGTACTCATACCAGACACAACAGACTTTTAAAAACAAATTTATCTTTATTTTTTAAAATATTACAGATCCAGACATAATAGACTTTACAACAAAGGCTATAACAAGAGTCAATGATGAAGGACCCAGCAATTCTACTTCTGAGTATTAATCCTAAGAAATCTAAAACACTAAATCAAAATTCCCTCTTCCCAACTGGCAATGGCAGAAGCAGACACAGCCTGTTGGCCTTAGGTACGTGTGTGGGTGTGAGTGTGTCACTGCTGGTGAGCTGGAGTGATGTGGCAGGGAGGGAAGCCAGGAATGTAATCTTTTCAAAACAAAATTAAATATTTTGAGACTAAATAATAAAATAAAACACTAAATTGAAAAGACATATGCATTCATATGTTCATTGCAGCATTATTTACAACTAGTGGCCCAGTGCACGAAATTCATGCTTGGAGCAGGGGTTCCCTCAGCCCAGCCTGCACCCTCTCCAATTGGGGACCCCTTAGCAGGTGGACATCCTTCTCGCAATCTGGGCGCAGTTAAACTGGCAGTTGGACATCCTTCTCGCAATCTGGGACCGCTGGCTCCTAACCACTCACCTGCCTGCCTGCCTTATCACCCCTAACCTCTCTGCCTGCCTGCCTGATTGCCCCTAACTGCTCTTTCCTGCCAGCCTGATCTCACCAACTGCCCTCTTCTGCCAGCCAATTTGGTTCCAATTGGTTGGGTTCTATGCCAGTCAGTGTCAAAAGCTTCGCCTCCTAGGCAGCCATTGGATCCTCACAGTTCACCCAGATTTGGTTCTGATTGGTTGGTTTCTATGCCAGTCAGCATCTCCGGGCCTATCTCTGGGCCTGATCAGAGAGGCAGGGCTGATCAGCAGCACCCCCCTCCACACCCCCACTGTGGAGGCCTGGAGAGAAAAAGAGGCTTGGCTGCTGGCGAAGCCCAGAGAGAAAGAGAGAGACAATGGCTAATCAACAGCTGCCACAGAGGCTGCGGATCAGACCCTGCCTCTCTCTGCGGGCCTCTCTCTGGGCCTGATCCGCTGTCCCCTTGGTAGTGGCGACCCAGCACTGACTGACTTCTGGTGTTCGGTGGAGCCTTCAGTCAGTTATTATGGACCCTGGGTTTTTTTTTTGGTTTTTTTCTTAAATATATATTTTATTGATTTTTTACAGAGAGGAAGGGAGAGAGATAGTTAGAAACATCGATGAGAGAGAAACATCGATCAGCTGCCTCCTGCACATCTCCCACTGGAGATGTGCCCGCAACCCAGGTACATGCCCTTGACCGGAAGTGAACCTGGGACCTTTCAGTCTACAGGCTGATGCTCTATCCACTGAGCCAAAGCGGTTTCGGCAACCCTGGGTTTTTATATATTAGGATAGCCAAGATATGGAAGCAACTTAAGTGTCCATCAATAGATGAGTGGATAAAGAAGTGGGGCATATATACAATGGAGTATGATGCAGCCATAAAAAGAAATGAAATTTTGTCATCTGTAGCAGCATGGATGGACCTAACTAGAGGGTATTGTAATGAGTGCAATAAGTGAGACAGAAAATGACAAATGTCAGATGATTTAATTTATATGTGGAAACTAAAAACAAAACAAACAAGCAGGACAGAAAAAGAACCATAGATATATAAAACATTTTGAAGGTTGCCAGATGGGGGAGGGTGGGTTGATGGGATGGGTGAAAAAAGTGAAGGAATTTAGAAGTACAAATTAGTACAGCATAAGGAATATAGTCAATAATATTGTAATAACTATGTATGGTGTCAGATGGGTACCAAATTTATTGGGGTGATCACTTCATAAGTTACATAAATGCCTAATCACAGGGTTGTACACATGAAACTAATATAATATTGCATGTCAACTGTAATTTAAAAAGAAAAATTGTGTTAGAAACGCTGGTCAACAGTTTCACAGGAATGAGACAAACACTCAAAAGTGGATTGGCAGGGCAGATTTACTTCTTCAGAAGGGTTCAGTCACAGGCTGAAAGTCATGGGCAAGGCACCCCAAACGGGAAGTCCCTCCGGGAAGAGGAAGGGGTGGGTGAGGCGGAGCCTAAGATGGCGACCCCCTGAGAATCTGAAGGTCAAATCAAAATGGCGGAACCCATGACAGCGGGGGAACTCCTTTCTTTGACAGAAAAGATCGCTGGTTCACTCTCACAATGGGAAAATACAAAAAAAGTAGAAATTAGAAAATCATTGTGATTTCTATTATTTTAATGTAACTATGTGATGATTTTTGGTTATATGTCCTTTCAGTCTTTTTTTTTTTTTAAAGTTCAGTTTCTATTCTTATGTTCAGGTAGAGCAACTTCCTTGGTCCTATTTGCTTCCTCACCCTTTCTAGAAACTCACGTTCCTGTTTCTGTTTCTGTTTCTTGGCGCCACAAGTGATTCTGGCTTAGGTCATCCTGGGGGCATCTGAGCACGGGGCCTGGCGAGGGGCTTTCATTCCATCTTGGCGTCCGGAGGACTAGGCATCCCTGAGGCTTCTGAAAGCAGTTCCACGCGAGGAACACTGCGAAATATCCCCGCGTCGCCGGAGTAAGTGGCCAACCTTCCCAGAGGGCTCCCTGGACAAGCACCGCCTCCTCTGAATATCGGCCGATCGGCCAGGCCTGTCCGGGCTCCAGGCGCCCCAGCTTCGGGACCCGCGCCGCGCAGGCGGCGGGGCTGGGGCGCGCGATGGACCGGCGGGCGGGAGGCGGGGCCGGCCGGGGGGCGGAGGGACGCAGCGGCCGCCCGCCGCAGAGAGAGGAAGTCCTCCTCTTCGGGTTCCCGCGCCCGGCCGGCTGCCTCTCTCGGCCTCCCTCGGCTGGTGGGGGTGAGTAGCCGCCAGGGCCCGTCTTTCGGCTCCTGTGCCCTCCTAGGAATCTGCGAGGAACTCCGAGCTCACGGGGCCCCTGCGTGGGGGCGAGGTGTGCGCCGCCAGCCCAGCCCTCCAGGTGTGGCCCCCGACCGCCAGCGCCCTGGGGTGGGAACGGAAGACAGGGGCCCCGGGCTCACCACGGTCCTTCCGCACCGGCGTCGGGGCGGCCCTTTCTCGTCTGCTCCCACTCGGTCCCGTGGCCCAGACGTCGCCGGGAGGCTTCCGGCTCGCAGCCGCCCGGTGCGCACGGAGCCGAGGCGGGAGAGTGGGGACCCGCGCGGCTCTATGGTTCACTCGCTTTGCCGCGAGGCCCTGGCCTTCTGGGGGTTGGGAGAGGTTTTGTCCTTTCCGCCCCACGTGAACCTCGGGTTTGGCAGCCGTCTGTGGGGCCTCAGCCTGAAACAATGCAGGGGGAGCAGAGTGGAGATCGGGTGAGGACTTCCAGACACCCCGCCCGGTGTGGGTTAGACTGGGGGCTGCGGGGTCCCACCCCAGAGAAGAGAAAGGCAACAAGAATGGATGGGTCGGCCCCAGATCCGAACTCAAACAGAGACGCAGACCTTGAACTCTGGTCGATAGCACTTTCCCCAACACCTGCCTCAGTGAGGCCAGAGTGAAATTATGTGCAAATACTGGCTGGTGGTAGAAAACAGTTTGAGTGACTCAGGAGACTGGGAGAGCTCTGAAATCCTCAGTAACCAAAAGGCTGCGGTGGCAGGGGTTTATTTATTCATTCACCCACCAGCAGTAATGTGCAGTCAGTGCTGGGCTAGTGGTAGGACAGAGGGGGACCAGCTTGAGGAGCACAGTTAAGACCTCTGTAGAGTTGGCTTTGGGTTTGGGCCTGGGCCTTCTGGGATTGGACTGGCCTTCATCTGATGGGCCTGGAAGGGGTTGAGGAGTAGGATGGGAACCCCGCATGAGTGCCCCCACCTTTTCAGGCAACTGCCTCATTCCACCACCATCCTGCCTGACTTTCCTGCCAAGCCATATCTGCTAACTCAAGCCTCACTCAGTGGCATCTCAGCTGGCCTTTTTCTAGAAGGGAGCTGCAGAAGGAGTGGTTTTTCCACATTCCGTCTCCACCCATCTGAAGCTTATGGCAGGGTCTGACTTGGGGAGGACACTCCTGGGCCTGAGGCTATGCTATCTTGGGGCCTGGAACTCCACTGGGAGTAACTGTTCTGGAAGAGAGGTCTCAGAGCCAGAAGGGAAGAGGGAGGGGAGTCCTGTGGTTTTAAAGATGAGGTGGACAGACCTCTAGTGATGCATCATTGGGGAAAGGACATCTGCTGCCCAGAGTGTGAGCTGTTTTGTCCCTCCTGGGGTGGGAGGAACGCAAGGAGAGGTGCAGGGCAGCACCACAGGAGGGGCACTTAAAGGCAATATCTCACAGGCTCCCTTGAGCACTCTGGATGCCTGTGCTGTGCTGCGCACAGGTTCATGAGGGACAGGGTGCTGTCTCATGGGAATGGAGACATAGACTGGTGGCTAATATATTGTTGGGATGCAGGCCTTGGGGGTGTTGGTGTAAAGAACTGTGGGAACATGGGGTGAGTTGCTGTTAGTTTTGTTTTTTTTTTCAATTACAGTTTATAGTCAGTATTATTTTGTATTAGCTTCAGGTATCCAGCATAACCAGCCGTGGGCAAACTACGGCCCGCGGGCTGGATCCGGCCCGTTTGAAATGAATAAAACTAAAAAAAAAAAAAAGACCGTACCCTTTTATGTAATGATGTTTACTTTGAATTTATATTAGTTCACACAAACACTCCATCCATGCTTTTGTTCCGGCCCTCCAGTCCAGTTTAAGAACCCATTGTGGCCCTCGAGTCAAAAAGTTTGCCCACCCCTGGGTTAGACAATCACATACTTAATAGAGTGTTCCCCTTATATTTCCATCTGGTACCACACATAGAGGCCCAGTGCACAACATTTGTGCATGGGTAGGGTCCCTGGCAGCTGCCAGCTGGGGCCTTCCTTTGTTCTGCACTGCCCCCTGGTGGTCAGCGCAAATCATAGCGAGCAATCGAAATCCCGGTTGATCGAACTCCCAAGGGGACACTTTACATAGTAGGCTTTTATATATATAAATTTATTGACTACTAGAGGCCCGATGCACGAAATTCATGCAAGAGTAGGCCTTCCTTCCCGCAGCTGCTGGCACCAGCATCCCTCTCGCACCTGGGACCCTTCATCCAGAAGGTCATCTGGGAGGACATCTGATCTAATTAGCATATTATGCTTTTATTATTATAGATATTTCCTATGCTGTACTTTACATCTGAATTGTTACCAATCTGTACTTCTCAATCACTTCACTTTTTTTTCACTCAGTCTCCCAACTCCCCTCCCAGGTTGCTGTTAGTTTCATTTGGGGAGGTTAGGCTATCTGAGATGGACTCTGAAGGATGAATGGGAGCTTGCCAGCTGCAGAAGAAGGAAAAATGCACTCAGGGCAGTGCAAAGAATTCTGGGGGAGAGTTGTCTAGCTGGAAAAGGGGTGTCTCTAGATGGGAAAGGGCATTGCATACCCTGCTCCGAGGCCTTGCCCAGGGCAGCTCACAGCCTTAGCCAGCCTGGGAGACTAATTGGAGGATCTGGAGGTTCCACTTATTTGTTAATGAGAATGGCTTGTTCAGGAGCCCCAGGCACCTGGACTCAGGAAGGATGAGGGCATACAGGGGAAGAAGGATATTTGATGATGGAGCCTTCCAGGGCAGGAGTCTTGAAGGTAGTGAATGATGTTATCTTTCTGTTTAGTGCATGGTAGAGGGATTGGGGACTGGGACGAGAAGCTGTAACTGTCAGTGTTCATGGCCAAGCAGCCATCCTAATCAAGGACTATGTGTGTCCTGGTGGTGGTACTCAGGATTCTGGCTCTGGACTTTCAGCTCACAAGAACCCTCACTCTAGATTTGTGGCCTTGGGAAGTGCTTCCTGTGATTGCACCTCAGGTGCCCATTTGCCAGGCTGGGGCTGTGGAGGGCAGCACAGGCCTGGAATGCCCCCTTTATACCAGCTGCCCACCCCATTGGGCCTCCCACACACAGGATCTGATTAGAAGCTCCTTGGTTGCCACACCTGATTGGCCACCTCTAGAGGCTACTACATGTATTCTTGCCCAAAGCCACTGACAGGTCTGAAAAGGACAGCTAATTGAGAATGGTGACCATGACATACAGAGCTCACTGTAAGTCAGATGCACTCATAGAGAATTTTATGTGCATTAATTAGCTCATTTGGAAATCACGGTAATCAGAAACTAGGTTATCCCTGTTCTTTAGATGGGAAAACTGAGGCATGGAAAGGTTAAATAACTTGCCCTGGGTCACAACTGATGGAGTCAGACTCTGGAGTTCTAGCTCCAACCATTACGCTGCTCTGCCTGGATTCCCAGCTTCTCACTGCTCCATTCCCCAAATAGGGCCCATCCACCTTTGCATCTCATACCTGTTAGACTTTGAGGGTGAGGGACTGAGAGAAGAATCATGATCTTTCTGTGATTCTCCTCCCTTGAAGGTAGCCCAGGTGACAAGACAATAATGATGTGCATGGGAGAGGGTGATGCTTTACAGGGCACTGTTTTGGACCCTCTCCATGGGATGTCTCCTCAAGAACCATCCCTCAGGCCCTGCAGCCTCCTACTCCTGACTCAGTCCTTCCCTCTCCTCTTCCTGCCTGCATCGGTCAAAATGGGGAAGATAGGAATGTAAAGGCAAACATGATCATCTGGATGAAACACAAAACAACTACTTTAGGAAGTTCTCCAGCCTTGCAAATCAAATTCTAGGTTGTTGTGGGGCTTTTTTGGTATTTGTGTCAAGGGTCCTAGAAGCTACCAACTTAGAAAACAAGAAGTGGTTTGTTTTAAGTTACCCCCTCCCCTCAGTATTCCTATCAGTTTCTGGATGGTAGAACTGGTGCTGGAGGTGGAGTTTCAAAGGGGAAAAGAGTACCTTTGAAGTCATAAACCAGATTTAAAAGACCACTTACCTCAGGCCCATAGAGTAGGCAGTCTGCTCTGGTGGAAGAATGTGAATGCCCAGGAGAGGGCTGCACAGAAGTGGAGCTGCCACCATGCCAAGAGAGGCCTGTCTACTGGGGCTAGGATGCCAGGGTCCCATGGAGCTTTTTGCAAAGCTTTATGCCAGGACTTCTGCCTGGTCTCGATGGGAACCCCCAGCTGGCAGTTAGTAAGCTTCTGCCATAAGGGGAACCAAGATGGCAATGTAGGTAACACTGGTACTCACTGTCTCCCATAACCACATCAAAGTTATAACCAAAATACAGAACAACCATCATTCAGATCTGCCTGTAATCTGGCTGAATGGAAGTCCTACAACTAGAGAAGTAAAAAAAGAAAGTACATTGAGACTGGTAGGAGGGGCAGAGGCTCGGAATGGCTGGTCCAACACCCATGTATAGTGTTTTTAATTTTTATTTTTATTGGGAGGGATATCTCCTCTGTGGAAGCCTCCCATGAGGAGCAAGGGGTCCCATTCCAACACCAGATCCCCAGCCCAGGGTTCCAGAGCTGGGAAGAGAAGCCCTGTAACTTCAGGTTGTAAAAACCAGCTGGGATTGTGACTGAGTGACAAGGAGGCTGCTGGAGACCCTGGCAGTTCCTCTTAAAGGGCCGGTGCACAAACTTACTTGGAATTGCTCCCTCTGGGCTCTAGTACTGGGGCAGCAGCTTTGGGGGAAATCCAGAGACATACAGGGAGGAACTAGATTGTCTGGCATTGGGGCAGGAACTCCAGTTGGGTGGCTTTCTCCCAGACGAGAGGGCTCACAAGAGTCATTGTTCCTGTGCTGGAACCTCCCCCATCCCAGAGATGACTGGCAGCCATATCTGAGTTTAGCTTCACCAAGTTGATTCCCTGAGACTCAGTCTGTTCCAATTTGCAGCCCTACCCAAGCTGTTTGCAGGAGCTTTTCTGTATGAATGGCTTGTCCTTGCTCAGGCTTCAGAGTTTGCTAAAATTTCTTAAACAAGCATCAGCTGGCATCAGCATGCCCCATACTTACTAATAAGAGGCCCAAGAACCAGCACTAGCAGCAGCCTGCCTGCTTCATAGCTTGGCCTCGCCTGGGTACTTCCAAGCTCAATGCAAGTGCAGCCATCTGCAGATGGCTCTGTAGCTCCTAATGGCCCCAGGCAATGGCTAACTTTGCACTTCCCTGGAGGCCCCAGAGTCAGTACACCTGGTGGACAATTTCAGACCATAGCAGATTACAACTCTACACATCCACAAGCAACACACTCAAGGGGCAGACTCAATGAGCACCAAAGCCCCACTGAAGCAAGTCCTGCTCCATAGGGTGTCTCCTGCATAGCAGCTCTTCTACTATAATCACAGCTGGTCCTCACAGCCAACTGGCCTGGAGGTCAACTCCTCCCAGTGATGCCAACAGAAATTGAGGCTCAGCTACAAGACTGTGCTACACAGCCCACACAGGGGCACACCTAGAGTGCCCAGCTGAGGTGATGGGGGAGGCTGAGCTACTGGGCCCCACAGAATACCTACTATACAAGGCCACTCTACCAATTCCAGGAGACATAGCAGCTCTACCTAATACATAGAAATAAACGCAGGGAAGCAGCCAAAATATAAAGACAAAGAAACATGTCACAAATGAAAGAACAGAAGAAACTCTGGAAAAAGAAGTAAATAAAATGGAAGCAAACTACTAGATACAGAGTTCAAAATAACATTTATAAGGTTACTCAAGGATTTTAATGAGAACTGCAAAGGACTTGGTGAGACTTTCAAGGGTTTTAGTGAGAATATCAAAGACATGAAAAAGGACCAGTCAGAAATTAAGCATGCACTAACTGAAATAAAGAATAATTTACAGGGATTCAACAGTAGAGGAGAGGATTTCGAGGATCAAGTCAACGATTTGGAATATGAGGAAGCATAAAACACCCAATCAGATGAGCAAAAAGCAAAAAGAATCCAAAAATAATGAAGCTAGTGTAAGGAGCCTCTGGGACAACTTCAAGTGTACCAACATTCTCATTATGGGGATGCCAGAAGGAACAGAGAGAGAGCAAGATATTGAAAACCTATTTGAAGACATAATGACAGAAAACTTTCCCCTACCTGGTGAAAGAAATAGACTTATAAGTCCAGGAAGTGCAGAGAGTCCCAAACAAGAGGAACTCAAAGAGACCCACATCAAGACACTTCATAATTAAAACGCCAAGGGTTTAAGACAAAGAGAGAATCTTAAAAGCAGGAAGAGAAAAGCAGTTAGTTACCTACAAGGAAGCACCCATACGACTGTCAGCTGATTTCTCAACAGAAACTATGTAGGCCAGAAGGGAGTGGCAAGAAATATTCAAAGTGATGAATAGCAAGACCTACAACCAAGATTACTCTACCTGGCAAAGCTGTCATTTAGAATTGAAGGTTAGATAAAAAGCTTCACAAACCAAAAAAATCTAAAGGAGTTCATCACCACCAGACCAGTATCACATGAAATGTTGAAGGGTATTTTTTTCATTGTCAGCCAGTTTGTGCTTTATTGACTCGAAGATGCTCAGGCCTTGACTGTGTACTTCTGCAGGGGGTATAGCTGCTCCTTCTGCTGCTGCTTCTTGGTCTTCAGATTCTCTTCATGCTTGTTGAGATGGAGGCGCATGGCACATGTTTTCTTGGGCCGTAGATCCAGGGGCTTGTACTTCTTTCCCTTGTAGAATTTCCTGAGGCTTTCTTTCTGAGTCTGGTTAATGACGGTAAGAACATGGGTGATAGACTTGCCAACAACTCGGATCTTCGAAAGCTTGAAAGTTGTGCTGCCTGTCACTTTGGCTACACGCCGCAGCTGGGATAGCTCTACCTTCAGATCATCCAGGTGTTTTAGCAGCTCCTCCTTCTTGCCAAGAAGGTCCCCAGCCTTAATTTTTGTCATGGCTGAATAAGCCGAGAAAGCTTGAAGGGTATTTTTTAAGAAGAGAAGGAAGAAGTAGTAGTAGGAGGAGGATAAATATGAACAGTAAATGATAATAAATGCTTATCTATCACAGTTGAGTCTAAAAATAAAAAATAAACAAAGAATCTAATGAACAGAATAAACTGATGAATAAAATAGAACCAGAGGCATGGAAACATGGAACAGACTGACGAACCTCAGAGGGAAAAGGGCGGTTTGCGGGGGGGCGGGAAGAAATTAACCAAATACCTTATATGCATATATGCATAACCTATGGACACAGAAGTGCTGAAGGCCTGGGGCAGGGTGGGAATGGGGTGGAAGGGGCCAATGCGGGGGGGGAAAAGGGAGACATCTGTAATCTCAACAATAAAGATTTTTTTTAAAAAAGCTCCTGCCCTGCTGATGGCTGTACTGACTAGCGGACAGATCAATGTTCACCTTATATGCTCGTACTTAACAAACCCCCTTTCTTCAGAGAAAGGGAAGTGAGTGCAGCTGCGGGGTGGGGGTGGGGGGGTCCATGATTGGAATTCCAAATGCAGTTGTGTCTATGTAGGGAGTCCAACTTACTGAATATTCCCATGCTTGTCCTATGTAGACCCTTGGCCCTGAACTTTATCTGATGCCAACGATAATGCATTTCTGTCACTGGGCATCTGCATCTGTACTTGATTTAATTTGCATAAACATGTGTCTCATTTTAATTCTCATGCTAATTCTGTGAAGTTCTGCAGATATGAAACATCCATGGTGGGGGTGTTTCTCATATATATGCTCATATTTGAACAAGTGTTCAGGGGGCTGCAGCCTGTGTCCAGGACTGGCCATGTCCGAAGAGTACTGCTTGGAATACCTCCCTCCCTCAACCTCCCCGCTCCCCCTCTTTCCCCCCACAAATGAAGGGAGAGACTTTTGAATGGCCATTATATGTTGGGCACTTTCTCTGTTATCTTGTTTGATACCATGAAGCATGTGGTGCCTTTTTTCACAGATGGAGAAAGTGAGGTCATGTGGCAGGTGCAGAGCCAGCTGTGAACCCTCCACCTGTCCACCTTCAGAGGATCCCTCTAGCAGCGGTTCTCAACCTGTGGGTCGCGACCCCTTTGGTGGTCGAACGACCCTTTCACATTGGTCGCCTAAGACCATCCTGCATATCAGATATTTACATTACAATTCATAACAGTAGCAACATTACAGTTATATAGTAGCCACAAAAATAATTTTATGGTTGGGTCACAACATGAAGAACTATATTTAAAGGGTCAGAAGGTTGAGAACCACTGCTCTATGAGCTGAGAGTACATGGGCCTTTTAACATACTGCTTTGCCCTGCCCTGGAGTCTTAAGGAATTGAGCTTTTCTTTTTCTTTCTCTGGAGTTTAGATCTGTTTCTCTAGGGAGAGCCAGCTGAAATCAGAGCTGGGAGAACTGGAGTCTAGTTAGGAGCTAGGGCAGCAGGAGAACATGACAGCGTAGGGACTCAGTGCCAGGGAGGGGTATAGGAGGTGGGAGTAGAATGGAGGCTGAGGCATGAAGGCATCTGGGAAGCAGCGCCCTTGTGTCCTTCCACTAGAGGGACCTGGAGCTGAGTAACTCTGGTTCTGTGACAATAAAACCAGGCCCAAGGCCTCAGCATATGTGTGCCTCTGTTTTGGAGCAGGCCAACTTGGCAAATGATCATACGTACCAGAAGCCCCTCCAGCATCAGCGAGTTCATTCTTAATAAGGGACTAGCCGTCTGGGAAGGCAGATATGTGTCAGAAGGGGCTGGGAAAGGCTCCTGACACCAGCAGGAATCTCTTTGGAACCAGGAATGAGGAGGCTGCCTGTAGAGTTCAGTTGGGAACCTGAGCTTTGGTTGCTGGCTTCTGGTGGGGGATGTCACTGCTTTGGGGACTGCTCCATTTCTGGGCCCAGGTGCTTCTGTATCTGTGGTAGAAAGGAGATTGGGGGTGGGGAGGGGTATAGGGACCACAGCCAGGCTCAGCACTGCCAGGAGACCTGGAATGAAGGCAGGCTCTGCTCTGATTGAGGAGATTAGACTGTCCTTGACTGGAACCTCTCTGGGAATTTCCTCACCTTGCCCTAAAGAGGGTTGCTGTGAGCTGGTGAGCAGGCCCAGGCTGGTGGGCTCCTGGGACTGGGTGATAGCACAGCCTTCAGGAATATTCCTGTCTTTAGTCCACAGCCTTGCAGATATCTCCATTCTTTTGTTACACCCGAGTTCCAGACAGCAAAGCAAGACTGGCTTACTAGGCATCCACCACTTCTTAAAAAGCCTTGTTTTCTTTCTGGGGAATCTCTTAGAAACCTTGGCGATATCTGACCTCCCAAACTCTTATCTGGCTGACCAGGGAGCTGGATCCAGGGCCTTTGTTGGTCACAGCATCTCATTGGGGTGATGCTGACCAGTGTGTGAAATGATTGCATTGATTGTCTTTTTACACTCCAACGGAATACACCATACTCCCTTTTGTAAATGACGAAACCATTTCCTGCTACGACTTGGGAGATGGGAGGAATGTTGTTACCCATGAAAGGTCCTTCTGTCCATGCTTGGTGGCCCACCTGCCAGCTCTGGCCCAGAAGGGTGGTATGAAAGCAGCCCCAGGGCATCCAGGTTCTGACTTGGCCTTGGTAATGCCCTTCTTTCTCCCTGACTACACTCTAAGAGGGGGATAGTTGTGCAGTGTTGACAGGCGAGACAGCGAGACTGTCAAGGACCAACCTAGACTTTTTGCAATAGTCCCTGGGACACCTGTCTCCTTCCCTCTAGCCCATCTTGCCCTACACATTGTGCACAGTTCTTGTAGAAGCCCAGGGCTTGAGCATGTGAGGGGAAGCAGGAGAATCTAGATCAGTGGTTCTCAACCTTCTGGCCCTTTAAATACAGTTCCTCATGTTGTGACCCAGCCATAAAATTATTTTTGTTGCTACTTCATAACTGTAATGTTGCTACTGTTATGAATCGTAATGTAAATATCTGATATGCAGGATGGTCTTAGGCGACCCCTATGAAAGGGTTGTTCGACCGCCAAAGGGGTCGCGACCCACAGGCTGAGAACCGCTGATCTAGATCATGGAGGCCTTTAGACCCCAGGATGATGGACTCTGAGGACGTGTCTGGAGCAGCAAAGCTGTGTGAGGGGATGGCCTGAGTTATCTGGTAAAGAGACCCCTGTGCTTTTATACCACCTTCTCTGAGGTTGCCTTTTTCTTTTTTATTGAGATATTCCCCATATCATAAAATTCACCCATTTAAAGTGGTTATTAATATATTCAGAGTTGTGCAGCCATTACCACATTCTAATTTTAGAACATTTCAACACTCCCAAAAGAAACTCTAAATACATTATCAGGTACTTCCAGTCCCCGTCTCCCTGTAGCCCTAGGGCAGTGATGGCGAACCTATGACATGCGTGTCAGAGGTGACATGCAAACTCATTTTTTTGGTTGATTTTTTTTTTGTTAAATGGCATTTAAATATATAAAATAAATATCAAAAATATGAGTCTTTGTTTTACTATGGTTGCAAATATCAAAAAATTTCTATATGTGACATGGCACCAGAGTTAAGTTAGGGTTTTTCAAAATGCTGACACGCCGAGCTCAAAAGGTTTGCCATCACTGCCCTAGGGCCTAGACAGCCATAATCTACTTTCTGTGGATTTGCCTGTTGTGGGAAGTTCGTATAAATGGAATCATATGTGGCCTTTTGTGACAGGCTTTTTCATTTAGTATGTTTTCATCTATGTTGTAGCATATGGCCAAGTAAATTTCATTGTAGGGATGGATATACCACATTTTGTTTATTGATTCATTAGTTGAACATCTGGGTTAATTCTACTTTTTAAAAAAATATATATATTTTTGCCCAGCCCGCATGGCTCAGTGGTTGAGCGTCGACCTATGAACCAGGAGGTCATGGTTTGATTCCCGGTCAGGGCATATGCCTGGGTTGTGGTTTTGATCCCCAATAAATAAATAAATAGATCTATTTTTATTGATTTCAGAGAGGAAGGGAGAGGGAGAGAGAAATAGAAACATCAATGATGAGAGAGAATCATTGATTGGCTGCCTCCTGTATGCCCCACACTGGGGCTCAACCACTGAGTCACAACAGCTGGGCAGTTCGTACTTCCTAATCCCATCCCCTTTTTCACCTAGCCCCCAACACCCTCTCTCATCTGACAACAATCAGTTTGTTCTCTGTATCTATGAGTTTGTTTCTGTTTTGTTCATTTATATTATTCTTTAGATTCCACATGGAAGTGAAACCATATGGTATTTGTCTTTCTGACTTATTTCACTTAGAATAATGCCCTCTAAGTTCATCAATGCTGTTGCAAATGGTAAGATATCATTTTTGTTTATGGCCAAGAAATATTTCATTGAATAAATATACACATCTTTAGCCATTCATCTTTATTTGAAGCATTTAATCCATTTACATTTAAAATAATGATTGATAGGAAACAATTAATAAAATAGCAATAACTACATACCTATTTATTTTTGTAGTTCTTCTTTGTTCCTTTCCTATTCTCCTACTCTCTTCTCTTATATATTGATGACTAACTGTAGTGTTGTGTTTGGATTCCTCACTCTTTTTTTTTTTTTTTTTTTATCTCTTGCAGATTTTTGTTTTGTGATTATCATGAGCTTCGGATATACTAAGCTATGTTTATAGCAGTCTATTTTAAGTTGATAGTCGCTTGAGTTCAGGCCCATTCTAAAATCACTACCATTTTTACCCAGCCCTTCCACATTTGTTTTTGTCATTATTTTTTAATTGTTTTGTGTGCATTCCTTTATTTACTGTTATAGTTACACATGCTCTTCCCACTTTTGCTTTTTTTATTATTAATTAAATCTTTATTGTTCAGATTATTACAGTTGTTCCTCTTTTTTTTCCCCCATAACTCCCCTCCACCCAGTTCCCACCCCACCCTCCTCCCTCACTCCCCACCCACTGC